AAAACACGGACTTTAGAACATTCTAACACATTCCAGCATGTTCTTCTGATTATAAATAAAAAACAAACAATTAACCCCCCCCCCCAAAAAAAAACCAAGACAAGGAATGGAGATCAAAGGTCCAAACATAAGAAAATAATTAGACTAAATGGTTTGGTGAATACATTATATATGCACACACACACACACAGAGAAATATCACACTTCTGGGAGCATGGGGGTTAGGGGGAAGGGGAGATGGGGAGAGAGAAGGGAGAAGGGAGGATTGGGGAGAGCTTAGGGAAATGGGATGGATGAGATGGAGGAAGGGTGGATATGGGAGCAGGGAAGAAGATATCTCAATTAAGGGAGCATTTTTAGGGTTGGCAAGAGACTTGGCTCTAGAAGGGTTCCCAGGTGTCCAAGGGGATTTCCCCTGCTAGGTCTTTGGGCAGCAGAGGAGAGGGTGCCTGAACTGGCCTTCTCCCATAGCCACACTGATGAGTATCTTACATATCACCATAGAACCTTCATCTGGCGATGGATGGGAATAGAGACAGAGACCCACATTGGAGCATTGGACTGAGCTCCCAAGCTCCAGCAGAAGGAGGGAGAACATGAGTAAGGAAGTCAGGACCATGAGGGGTGCATCCATCCACGGAGACAGTGGGACTGATCTAATGGGAGCTCACCAAGGCCAGCTAGAATGAGACTGATGGAGCATGTGATCAAATCGGACTCTCTGAATGTGGCTGACAATGAGGGCGGACTGAGAAGCCAAATGATAATGACACTAGGTTTTGATTCTACTGCATGAACTGGCTTTTTGGGAGCCTAGTCTGTTTAGATGCTCACCTTCCTAGACCTGGATGGAGGGGGGAGGGCCTTGGACTTCCCACAGGGCAGGGCACTCTGACTTCTCTTAGGGCTGGAGAGGGAGGGAGAGGGGGAGGGGAGGAAAGTGGGAGGCAAATGGGAGGATGGGAGGCGGAAATTTTTAATAAATAAAAAAAATCACACTTTACTTGTGCGTGCATGTGTGTGCGTGCGCATGCGCATTAGGTTAGTTATTAAAGAGAAAAATTGAATTTAAACCATAAAACAAGCCACCATCACAACCACCACCTAGAAACAAAAGCACAAACAAGGAGGAAATGATAAGAATAAAACTTTTGTAGACACAAAAAGTTCAGAGAGAAAAATTCATTACACCATATACAGTTGAGAGAATTCTTGACTAAGAAAATCAATGGGTAGAGGGCATGACCATGGTCCCAGCACTCTGGAGGCTAAAGCAAGGGTTGCCATGAGGTCAAGACCAGCCTAGGTTCCAGTATGAAACCAAAACTCAGAAAAATAAAATACATAAAATATCTAAAGTCAAATAGAGTATGAGACAGATGAGAGGAGTTTTTACATCATAAGTTAGAAAGAATGGCATATGCATACCCAGGACTAATAAATAGTAGTAACTTGGTAAATATGTGTTAAACTACTGGTTATTTGAATACATGCTTGATTAAAAATCACTTTCCTGATCATTTTCTTTCAGGTCTTTGTGTCTTACTCTATGATTTTTTTTTGCTTATCTTCTTATTATGCTTCTTGGAGAACCAAAGAAAACTCTTAACTTCTTTAACTTAATTTTCTAAGTGTCTTCCTTCCCTTCACTAACTTGGCCATGTCTATTAAATGTCCAAGTGCTCTTATGTGGCCACAGCTTTCTATTCTATGCTTTGCCCTTTTCCTGCTCTCGTTCCAATCCCTTGTACTCTAATTTCTTCACAGTCATTTCTTAGCTGTACTTCCTTCTCTGGATGTCCAAAGCCAGTCTCTTAAAATGCACTCACTGTCTCCATCTTCTCGGTTACCTCCCTTCATCCTGTAGGGACTACTGAGCACAGCTGCAGAAGCTTGCTCCATCTAGAACTGATGGTAGCTATGCCAGGTCTGATCTTCCCACCATGCTCACTTTGGCTATCAAACACCTACCTACCCTTCCCCTTCCCTTTCCCTTTCCCCTTCCCCTTCCCCTTCCTCTTCCATAGCACATGAGCTTCTCTGTCTTCCATTATGGGATCCTTCTCATTTTCTGGTTTCTGCACCAGCCTGGTGCTTCCTCACAGGTCAGCCTTACTGCTGTCACATAGCCTGGCTTTCATAGTCTTCCTATTCAGGGTTCTTGCTTCCTGAGTTACTCTCCTCAGGAAATACCTATTTTTTTTTTTTTTTTGTATTAGGCCTTTCCCAAGATGCTGTATTTAATAAAGAAATCAAGAGAGACAAAAATTCTGCCTCTCACCAAGGAGTAGAGTATAGTGGGTGCTTAGACAATAGAAGGAAACAAAAGCACGAGGTAGTTTTGCTTTTCATAGACACAGCCAAGGAATAATAACACTGATTCCTGAAGGAAAAACTCATGCTGATTGACACTTCTCCATCCATGCTCCTGTATCTTTGTCTCCTGTTCTTTTGCTCTCGAAGATATTTGTCATATCTATGTTCTTTATTAGGAACTGGAATCAGCCTAATGTCCATCAGTAGATGGGTGGATAAGGAAATGTGCTGCACACACAGAGCACATTTTATTGAGCCAGAAGGAAAATTAAAATTATGAAATTTTTAGTAAACTGTATGCAACTGGAGAGTACTATATTAAGTTAGTTAACCCAGGCTCAAAAAGCCAAAATACCATATGTTCATTCTCATATCTGTGGCTTTTAATACATGTGTACTTATAAAGGAATGAGTGTGCTTGGAACCTGAAAACCAGCAACAGTTCTTTGAGATTGTAGTATAAGTGCTTCCTCTTCTAGGAACTCCTGCAGATTAAAACACCAATATTATGTGCAGAGTTCCACCTTTGCCCACATTCACTTTCTGTAGACGCTCAACATAACTAGGCTGGCTGTGCAATGGGAAGTATTTCATATGAAAAGAGGGAGTGTTAACTGACACTTTGGGACAGCAAGACTATGGCAAACAAAGTAGGATACTATGATGACCTTATTCTTGAGAGGCTATAGCCATTGTTATGGTTTGACAAAATAAGGGCTTGTTAATTATATGCAAAACTCTATACATTCTTGATACTAACAATGATCTTAATGTGTATGGCTAAGGCTTAAATCACACTTAAGTCCTAGCTCTTTTATTTCCTATTCAATTATCTAGGCACTGAAGCCTCCAAAAGGGGGACTGCTCTAGATTTCCTATTCCCAACACTTTTCATATTTAAGCCTGCTACGGTTAGCGCTAAACAGTTCTCTACTTTACTGTTTTGACTTCTGGAATACTGTCATAACTTTTATCTGATCTCCTAGCTCTCGTCTTGTCTTACTCAATCTCGTTTTCACATTCTGTTTTGAATGTGCCAATAGCCCTGTGGCTTACTGATCAGAGATGGCTATCATGACACTGCCTATTCCCTTTTCAGTTCTATAACCCTATTTTCTCATGAGCACTGTATTTTAGTGATGCCATCTAACTTGAAGAGATACCTATTCCCAGCAAGGAGCTTCTTCCTTGAAGGCCTCTGTCTCTGCTGTTTTTCTCTGCCTGCAATGCCTCTCTTTCATATTGCCCCTCAAGTTCAGTACCTGGGAAGCTTCTTTAGAGAAAGGACACCTTAAACACTGAATTTTTACCCACTCTGCTTTCAGAGGTCCATTTGCTGCTCTAGATTTAATACTGAAATCAATCAACAATGCCATTACTCTGGTGCTTTTCCACATGTGCCCATGCTTCACAGAATCATCAATAAAAAGATTAGAACTGTGTATGGGCTTTAGCTGCTAAAACTTTGCCATGTTTTATAAAAATAAGAATAGATCTTAGCATAAGAGACTTGATGATTACATTAATATATGTGACAAAATTATGAAAGGAGTAAATTGTTAATTGTTTAAAATTTTAGAAAATCAGAATGCATTTCAACAGTTGTCTAAATTGGAAAAATTTGTAAAAATACTATCCAAAAGAATTTTCTTTTTCCTAAGAGAGTTGTTCATGCTATTTTCTCTCTCTCTCTTTTTTTTTTTTTTTGCAAATGTAGAATACATACAAGTTTAAAAGGGAGGTAAGTATTAGATGTCCAAAAATTCAGTATCTATCATATCTACTCCACATTCTGCTTTACTGTATATGTCTCGTCTATGCTTCCCACAGTCCCATGTTCTACCTCATTAGTTCTGGCTCCACTAGAAGGAACTTGTTTACTTTGTCTGTCAAGAAGCCCAAACTATTTGACCTTCCAGGCATAATAAACCTCCACAGTTTTTGGGAAAAAATGTGGCTATTTATTCCAACACTTACAATTGTTTTCTATTTCCTAATTCATTCCCAATACTTAGTGCAATCTTTCCTAATTATATTTTGGCTTACAAATCTTGCTTTGGGACTTGAAATTACTTCTCTAAAAAGAAAAATTATTTAAGATATTATGAAATCTAAAACACATTCTGCTATGTCCACAGGTTGAGGCCCTGGCTTCCTGGCTATGGTAAAATACTTCAAGGTGATTCTGAAGAGGGAGGAACACTGAGTACTATACTAAAGAATAAAATTTGTTAAAATATAACTGGGCAGAAGTCAAATACTCCAGATTTATTTTCCCATTGGCAAGACACTGGTATTATAAAAACAGCTCAAATCTCTCAATGAATATACTTGAATACTTGCTACATGTCAGAAGGTGGAGCTCTAAACATATCTGAAATACTGTTTCAATGCAGTCCACAAATGTGTACATGGACAGACTGAAACTGGCACGGAGTGTCTGGACAAATTCTTCTGAAGAATATCCTCGTTCTTTGAAGATGGCATCGCCCAAGTCTCCTAATACAAGGGTCACTAGCAGAAAAGGCACTCAGTTATTTCCTGTGACATGTCAAAGTATTTGCTGTTATTAAAAACTTCTATGTATAAGTCCAACAATAAAATATACAGTACATTTAAAAGGCAAAACATTTTTGAAAATCATGGCTCCTTGGTCGAATATAGGCGAGGTCACAAGTACTTACAAGCATCTCGGATATAGAGTAGCATGGCTATGAAGACATAATCTACTAAGCTCAGGCTGAGGCCGTCTGCAAACAAGGCATCCCAGATCACCAGCAGATCCTGTAGTGGGAACTCCCTCCCAAACAGCAGCCGCACCCATCGCCTGCATAGAGACCAAACAAATAGAAAATGAGGCTTCCAAAGGGATGTTTTTCTCAAGAAATTTAAGAGAGTTAAAATTTATTAGTTGAGCATTCAGAAAATACTATATACTGAAAATACAATTTAAATTTTAAGAAAGCATTATAGGGCAAATCAAAATACTATAAAATATAAGATTTAAGTTTTTAAAGTTCTATACTAGACCCCAGTGCTACATATTATTCTTCTATGTGTAAAACACAAGAATGACACTTGGAAAAGACAGAAAATTTTCATATGAAACAGACACCACAAATCTTTAGCAAGAAAATACAAGACAAGTGTGTAGCGCAGTGCAGTAGTTGTGAATTTCAGGTTACTCGTGGAAATACCATTTCCCAAAATTTCAGTTTCTTTATTGATTTTTGTTAACTTATTAGCTTCTTACAAATGTTTTTTTCTAACAAATCATAGTCAAACTCAGAAATTTATATTCTCATACTTAATTATTTAAAATATTCATTTTAAAACTTAATCTTAGGAAAAAATTACTCTTGCATATTTTTGAAGGGTCAAGTATAAACAGTTATAGAAGATGGAAAAATATTAATGATTCTTATTTGTCTAGAAATAGGCATCACTAGTCAGCTAAGCTGTTTCTCAGGGAATGTTTCTCATGTTGATTTCTTGCCCAGGTCAGTAAACACGAAGGACAGCAAACAAGGCTCATAATTGGCCGTGTAACATAAACAGTGACGTGACACTTATGACTCTAGACTTCCAGAAGGCCCAATTAATGAATTTATATCTAATGTTACAAGAAAATTAGCATTTGGTTTGATATGTTTCGATTCACTGATTTCAAATTTTATGCAATAGGGGTACAATTCTTTTACATAGTCTTTCCCCAAGAACTTCAGCAAGAATTCTAGGTAATTCTAGCATATTGCAGACAATTCAAAGATTTAATGTCCAGTACTAGCAAATAATATGAAGTAAATTAATTAAAAATGAATCACACATACATGATTAACAAAGATCTTACTTTTTTTTTCAAACTTTAAAATCAAATCCAACTATCTGTGAGGTAAAGTGAGGTAAAACAAAGCCCTCCAAGCATAACCAAATGCTGGCTCCAGGAGTATTATATTATGGCAGAATGACAGCTGTGTCAAAATAGTCTCTAACCACAGTTATTAGAAATTGTGTGATAAAAACATTCATATTCATATCATCAAATTCATCAAGAGTATTTTTCTAGACTGTATTTTCTACTGCAGCCATTACTCATTCTTTTTCATGAAAAAGATGCCTAGGTAAATATTTTTTAAATGTTATAATAATTTCGACAACATTTACTCTATCTTTCAAATCTTAGTGTACTGCTAAAAGAGTGGCTAACACAAGATCTTTGTAGCTTAAGAAAAACTACTATGTACTTCTAACTCTTACAAATCACTGAGGCTAATATGCACTGCTTCAAAAAGGACAAAAATCTGACTAAATTAAAGGGCTGTTCTTCTAAATTAGGAAGAATTAACTAGTTTTGCAGGAGTGTTGGGAGAGCTAGAGAGGAGCACAGAGGACTTTAAATGGATACACAAATGGCTACATTACAGGACTAAACATTTAGGATGCGGTTACTTGCAGTTACTTAACTGACACAACTGGAAAAAAAAATCCATCAATGCATAAAATGAATGAATGTTAATCCTTGATGTGGAAGAAAATATCAGATTGTTTTTTAGCATACTCTGATGACAGGCCAGCTATTGCTCAAACTTCTCCTGCAGCATTCCTGTTGGTGAGGGTTATGTGCTCAGCTTCAAAAGGTGCTCACAGGCACCTGCATGTGGCTGTGTCTACTGCAGCACTGCACAGGGGCAAGGCCAACCCTCACCCTTCACAGTCAACAGTCCACATGGTTAATGTCTTCTTCACCACTTCTCTGTTTAATGTGAAGTCTGATGTGCCATTTTACAAACTTTCACATTGCTTCACTGAGGTTTTACCTTTTCCAAATCTCTGCTTCTTAATCCCAGAGTGAGGACCAAATACACACACAGGGTAGGGGAGGCTTAGACAGGGGAGAGGAGTGGCAAAGGGAGGGGGAAACCTGAAAAGGTCTTTGCAAAGTGTATAGAGACTCACTCAATGCTCTCCGGGCTATGTACCAGGGTTTTGTTAACTGCACTGTAAAGCCACCCGTCATGCCACCGAAAAGCAAAGGTCCAGCTTAATTGGAACCACAAGAATTGATCTTAGTGATAGTGGCATAAAAACATTCAGAAAATGGTCTCCATTTCAAAAAATGAAAAACAAATTAAAAATATGTAAGAAAAGATAGGTTACTGCTAGATATGCAATATATTACTTTTTATTAATTCATATCTTTGTCATCGTGTGCATGGTGTGCATGTCATAATGCCCACGTGACAGCAGACTGCAGCTTTCAGGGATTACTTCTCTTCCTGAGGAGCTTGGGGACAGAAATGAGTCCATCAGGTTTGTGCTCTAAGCACTTTTGTCTCTTGTACCATTTTTTAAATTTTATATAAGACCTAATAATTTGTACATGTAGTTAACACTAAAGTATAATCCATATTTTCTGTTTTATACTATGGGAAAATTAAGGGTAAATTCCTAACTTTTAAGACTAATGGGTAAGATAAAGTAATAGTAAGAAACTAACAAGGAATTTATCAATAATCACTTTACTTCAAGGTCAATTTACTTCACAAATATACTCAAAAAAAACCTTCATGTGCTATTTTTTTTCTCCCACTGATTTAAAAGCAAAGGAAAATTTCAGTGCTTTTTGAAATGAGTTACTAACAGATACCCTTTCAGTATGCTTTTAGATCCTCAGAAAGACACTATGTCTACAATTAACATGCTCTTACTGCAGTTAAAAATATTTAGTGTGTGTGAACTTACACTTAAGGGTAGCAGTAAACCTTTCTTTTCCTAAAAAAGGCAGTTCAGTTTAATTGCTTGATACCATTAACTTTGCTTTTTAGATACTTCACCTGAAGATAGCAATGCTCACACACTTCATGGCTTGTGATGACACAGACCTATGTAGCAATTACAGATACACAAAAAGAATAGCTATCCAAAGTATTAAAGTTAGTAATTAACTAATCAGAGACAGGACAGTCTTTGGTGGCTCTCATCTGCCAGCTGTGTAATGAAGCTGCTTCTCCTGGGGGATCACGAATGGTGTTGTTGCCTGGTGAATGGCACACACAAACACCAAGAGGTAACTGATTCATGAGAATCACCAACTTGCATATCCAACATGGGCACAGAGGGATATATATATATGTGTATATATATATATATACATATATATATATATATAATTAATGACCAGGATAGTGTTTTCTATTTCCATCCATTTCCATGCAAAATTCGAGAAGTCATTGTTTTTTACCGCAGCATAGTACTCTAATGTGTATATATTCCACACTTTCTTCATCCATTCTTCCATTGAAGGGCATCTAGGTTGTTTCCAGGTTCTGGCTATTACAAATAATACTGCTATGAACATAGTTGAACAAATGCTTTTGTCATATGATAGGGCATCTCTTGGGTATATTCCCAAGAGTGGTATTGCTGGGTCCAGGGGTAGGTTGATCCCGAATTTCCTGAGAAACCGAAACACTGATTTCCAAAGTGGTTGCACAAGATTGCATTCCCACCAGCAATGGATGAGTGTACCCCTTCCTCCACAGCCTCTCCAGCAAAGGCTATCATTGGTGTTTTTGATTTTAGCCATTCTGACAGGTGTAAGATGATATCTCAAAGTTGTTTTGATTTGCATTTCCCTGATTGCTAATGAGGTTGAGCATGACCTTAAGTGTCTTTTGGCCATTTGAACTTCTTCTTTTGAGAATTCTCTGTTCAGTTCAGTGCCCCATTTTTTAATTGGGTTAATTAGCATTTTAAAGTCTAGTTTCTTGAGTTCTCTATATATTTTGGAGATCAGACCTTTGTCTGTTGCGGGGTTGGTGAAGATCTTCTCCCAGTCAGTAAGTTGCCTTCTTGTCTTAGTGACAGTGTCCTTTGCTTTACATACCAGTAAAGAACCTAGTTAGGCATGGTGGCACACACTTATAATCTCAGCACTCCAGAGGCAGAGGCAAGCAGATCTCTGAGTTCCAGGACAGCCAAGGCTACACAGAAACCCTGACTTACAAAACAAAACAACAAACATAAGAAACTGAAACAAAACAAACACCAACAAAAAATGTCCTATTTTTGATCAATGATATATTTATATATACATATGTTTATATAAAGATAAGTATATAAATTCTGGATTTTGCTTTCTGTTAACTTGTACTCTTAAAAGCCAGAAAAATTTAAATATTCAATTCTTATTCTTGAATAAATACAGAATCCAAATTTTTTTTAGTAAAACCAAAAGTAAGTCATGAAATTATTTATCTGAGATTAAATACCTACTTGATGAGTTTAGGCTCTTTTTTTATGCTGGGTTTTCCTGTAATTCTTATGAAATAAACCGATTTTGAGTATTTATATAAACCCTGTGATAATAGTCTGAAGAGTTGCAGTTATTATAGCTTGAGTTACAAGTTGACACTGTCAATGTTAGTTCTTATATTTGTTAAAATTAAAATCACACAGAATTTGTGGTAAAATAGCTTCCAATTTCATATTTATTATTTTTCTAAAATTTCTGTAGAATTTACTCTTGGAAAATATATAACCTGCTTGGTAAGACTTCAAAAATCTAGTCATTTATAGATAGATTGATATATAGATCATTAGACAGAGAGACAGACAGAGCATATAAATAGAGTTATGCTAAACAGGGTGATAATGCTCCCTCACAAATCCACACGTAACAATAACAACTATGCCAGGAATGAAAAGTCTCCCTTTGAACTGGTGGTCACAGAAGTCCAAGAGAACCTCCACATGAAACAGCTATTGCCATCTCCCACAACTTGAAGGTCAAATCCTATTGCTGAAGACACCACATGATTTGGGCAC